AATAATAATAATAATAATAATAATAATAATAATAATAATAATAATAATAATAATAATAAAGCAAAAGAAATTTAATGTTGTCCTGTATTTTTAATAAAAATTATAAGATTAATAAATTAATAAATTTAAAGAATTAAAATCAGTAATTGAAATGATATAATTATTAATATATATAAATATATGTATATATAATAATACTAATACTAACAATAAAAATAAATAAATAATAGTAATGAAAAAGACAGGTTAACTAAGCATAACCAAATAATATGATTAAAATCTTTATTTTCTACATTATTATAGGCGCCAAATTATAAGAGACATTCTAAAGTTGTGAGAAGGAAGAATGCAAGATTCATCTCAAATTAATTTAGGGTCTGTTTGAGACAGCTTGTGCGTTTCAGAATAAACTGCTTATCCTGAAACGCGGCCCGCGTGCTTGCCGCAGGGGTCGACCCGCAGTCTTCGTTTAATGTAAAAACTCAAACGCAATTTCGGATAAGCTGGCAAAACGCACGAACCAAACGGTACAGCGACGTTTTGAAAACGCCGACCGCACTTATAAGCTGCCTCAATCGGACCCTAAAAAAAGTGAGTACTCTTATTTACAGTATACCGCAATATTAATATTAATGATTTCTTCTAAATCAAATGCATTAGATGATATGATGTTTGCTTAGATAAACTGATATTAAAAATTGTTCATGATTTATCTGTTATTTAGATTGTGCTGGTCATATTTGAAAAATATATTGCATATTTTTAAGCACAATTACATTTATTGTATACAACAAATATAATGAAGTATAAAAATAGATTTACATAATATAAATAAAATAATTTATATAATATGCTTATATGTGCCTGATTAATTAACAAATTCCACCCACTTACAGTACTCGCTGAGAATGTTAAGATGCTCGTGCACGTACATAAAGTAGAAAATGTCACTGATATTGATGTACCTTAATTGGCAAAAGCTAGACGATGATCTTGTGACAGATATAAATAATAAAATACATATAATATAATATAATATATTATACGATAGAAAATTACTAGTCTTTTTTAATTTCTATAATTGAATAGTAAACATTCATTTGACTTTATATGGATTTTATTTTCTATGTTAATATGAGAATTCAAATCCTTTGTAAAATCCTAATACTTGATAGGCCGGATAAATTAATTGGCATATATATTCAAAATTTAGGATCATAAAGCTTGATAAAATTGATATGTAGCACTGGGATAAAGGCTTGTTGTTGTTGTTATTGTTATTGTTTTAAGAACATAATATTTTATTTTGTAACCATTAATATTAATTCTTTTTTTTACTATTAGAAAAAATATGTCAAATCCTTTTCTCAACCCCTCTTCCTTGCTTAATTTAATCTTTATCATAAAAAGTTTTAGGGATAATAGCATACATATCACATGAAACACTAATATTTACAAATTAGGCACTTCGATGATTTTTTTTTGAACTGCCGAACCAATATATTTTCACGTGCCATAGCGAACTATTGAAAATTTGATAAAAATGAAAAATATGAGTTGGAGTTTTAGCATGAATTTTGATATTGGAGTGAGAATTTGAAAAAAATGGTAGAAAGTAGATGCTAGATTTATAAATAACAATGTTGCAAGAGCTATGCATGTAATAACCCAAACAACTCCTAAAGAGGGAGAAAAATATTACGTCCGGACGTGCACGTCGACACGTCCGAATAACCAACCACCGGCGGCCATATCATCGGTCGATGAAATGTATGGTGGTTGGCAATCCCGTCGTGCGGTGCCCAGACAAAATATTTTCTATTACATCAGTACTACGCACGTAGAGTAACGTGCGTAGCCAATGAAATCAGGTCACGACACCTCGCCGACAGATAAAAAAAACGGCGCAGTAACACAGGGAATATCCCCCCCTCGTCACGATATTCTTTCTCGTGTTATTCATGTGTTATTGTGTCATAGAAATATTCCTGATATTATAGTAACACAATAACACATCAATAACACACAATAACACATGAATAACACGAGAAAGAATATTCTCTCATGTTACTGCGCCGTTTTTTCTCTGTCGGGAATATTCCCCTTGTTATTTAGGTGGTATTGTGTGGTATTCATGTGTTATTGTATCATGAGAATATTTTTGATTTTATAATAACACAATAACACATCAATAATGCATGAATAACACGGGGGAATATTTTCCGTGTTGCTGCGCCATTTTTTTTTCCCTGTCGTGCGGGAAGTAGTGGCGTGATTTCCATGAGAATATTTTTGGTTTTATAATAACACAATAACACATCAATAACACATAAATAACACGCAATAACACATGAATAACACGGAGGAATATTTTCTGTGTTACTGCGCCGTTTTTTTTTTCCTGTCGCGCGGGAAGTTGTGGCGTGATTTCATTGACTATGCACATTACTATTACGTGTGTAGTACTGATGTAATATTTTTTCCTCCTCCTAAAGAGGCCAAGCACAAGGAATAGGATTTATTCGGTGTATATTTCAGCACATGTAGATTCGTGGTATTTGATGGTATTCGCATTATCGACATGCCGTACAATCCGCACCTATGTTGTCCGCACTTAGTAGTTCTTCATAATGAACACAAAGTTTGAATGCCAAGGAACAAAAACAAGCATATCGTATAATCAGCAGACACATACTAAAACTTAAATAATGCGCCATGGAAAAGAAAATTTACCTCCGAAATCGATCACTTGGGCTCCGAAATCTTCTTCAGACAAGTATTGTTCAGTCGCTCAATGGCCAGAATCAACGCCTGCGTGCCTAAACCCCCATCTCCGTGCGCCACCAACGAAACATAGAGCTGCTGCGCCAACGCAAGTCCAGGCAGAGCCAGCCCCATGGTCTGGCATTCCTTCAAACAGATTCCGAGATCCTTAACAAAGTGATGAACATAGAACCCCGCCTCCATATCCCTATCAAGAATCCTTTTCCCGTAGAATTCCAAAGATTTCGATCCCGCCGCACCTGTCGAGATCGCCTCCAACCATTTCCCCACGTCGAGCCCAGCCTTGTGAGCAAACATCATCCCCTCCACGAGCCCTAACATCGTCGATGCGATCGCGATCTGGTTCCCGAGCTTCGCCCTCTGTCCAGACCCAGGACCTCCCATGTATCTCACGGTTCCCAAGCACTGGAAGAGAGGGGTTAATCGGCGCACGGCGGCCTCTTCCCCTCCGGCGAAAATGGATAGAGTGCCATTACGAGCACCTCTGTCGCCACCGGAGACGGGAGCGTCGACGGAAAAGCAGGAGGCCGCGCGGGCGATTTCGTGGATTTCAGCGGCGAGGGTTGGATCGGAGGTGGTCATGTCTACAAGGAAGGAGCCGGAGGATAAGCCGGAAAGGACCCCGGATTCGGGATCGAGGGCGACGCGGCGGACGTCGGAGGGGTAGCCGACGATGAGGAAGACGACGTCCGATGAGCTGGCGACGGCGTGGGGAGAATCGGCGAGGCGAGCACCTTGATCGAGTAGGGTTTGGGCCTTAGAAGGGGTTCGGTTGAAGACGGTGAGGGAATAACCGGCGGCGAGAAGGTGGGAGGCCATGGAGCGACCCATGACGCCGGTGCCAATCCACCCGATGCGAGTGGTGGAGGGAGAGATCGCGTTGTCTGAGGAAGTGATCGACGACATGAGGGCTAGAGAGGTGGGGAACAGGTGGTGGAGGGGGGTGCGATCGAAGAGAAGGGGATTCGGATGGCGGCGGAGACCTCGAAGGAAGGGGAGCATTGACGGGAAAGTGTCGAAGTAGAGTACGTTAGATTTCCGAATATGCCCTTGAGGGGGTAAGGAATGATTGGGTATTAATGTGGGTAGAGTTTGGAATTATGTGCTAAATTAATTTTGTTTGTTTCATATGGGATTGATATTTAATGATTTTACATGATTTTTTCTCTAAGGGCTTTTTGGTACTTTTGTTAACGAGCCTACCATTTAGTGTGTGCTTGAAGTAGCTGTAGGAAAATACATGCGTTGTCCGATCTCTATAGTTGATCATAGTATTTTTTAAAAAAAAAAAATTAAATGTGATCCACCGAAATACATCTTCCATGTGATCAACAGTGGAGATCGGACATTGTCCGTATGAAATAATTTTTCCAGTTTGCATGGTGAGTTTTACTCCGTATGAAATAATTTTTCCAATTTGCATGGTGAGTTTTACTCCTACTTTATGTTATGTCAATGTTTTGCTTTTGACTCGACATTATATTTTATTTTATTTTCTAATTACTTTGTTTGTTGTTTTGGTATTTCTCTAACCTCATAGGTCTTTCAACTTAGTCTTTTCAAGCTCATCGTACCTTTCAGGATATTGAATCCAAATCTGTCTAGGAAATTGTGCCGAAGAAATAGAGTCGGATCCCGAGTGTGGAGAAAGAGAGGGAGAACTATTACCAAATTGTGGAACGCTGATAGAGAATATCGTCGTAAAAACAAGTTTAATTTGCACTACGATAGATAAAACATGACACAAATGCCCTAAACAAACCAAACAATTCACATTAATCTACATCACAATTAATTTTCATAATCTTATTTTACCTAAATCTATAAATAAAAACACAAAGGATGGGTCGTGAACTTCAATTCATTTCTCATATGTGTTTTATAATAATATTTGAAATCTTACAGTGATTCTCTCCAAATGATCTCTTTCTATATTATTATTATCTCTTTAGTTTAATACATACATGTTATAAGTGCAATTTTGATGTCACCAATAGAAAATTTTAAATCCAACTCAAATGTTGATGCCTAATTTTGCGTCATTTTACCATCTTCATCGATGCCCTCATGCCCTCATTTGACAAAGAAGGTGAGCATACTCTTATTGCGGAACAAGAGCTAAAATAAATACTTTTTTTTTAAGGAATGGCCGGAGACTATTAGACATTGGACAAGTCTCGGCTATCACTAGGTGTGTTAAATATTCGAGTATCACACCCTACACATGGGCGGGTTCGAACTCGTGAGATGAGGGGACTTACGACCTTCAGAGAGGCTGCTCTACCAACAGGCCATGGAACTTGCACTATACAAATTAAAATATTATATTAACGAAGCACAAAGATGATAAAGATAAATATAAATATAATTTAAAATAGATAAATTTTTAAGGTTTGAACTTATAACTTCTATTTTGAAGGAAAAATAAGATAATACAACTAGGTGGCTTTAGCATCTCCATGATCATTTTGGTCAATGCAGCTACTTGAAGTCCATCCCTCATTAAAGTAATCAGGCCTAACATCCAAAATGAAACAACCCCAAGCAGCCAAAACTTATTATTACCATTAATCAAAATTATTTATGTTACCATGAACGCCACAAGCTAGTTAAGTAATGCAGAAGATGTTTTCAGCCCTCACAATGATAAAAAATATTACTCATGGAGTCCGGACGAAAGTTGCGTCCTGACAACGACTGCAATCCATCTACTGGAAAGAGCGGAAGACCAGTGAATTGCAGTTGTTGTCCGTTGTCAGGACGAAAGTTGTGTCCTGACAACGACTGCGATCCATCTACTGGAATGAGCGGAAGACAAAAAAAAAAAAAAGCAACCTCCGGTGGAATGCAGTCGTTGTCTGTTCGTACTCCAGTGAATTGCAGTTGTTGTCCGTTGTCAGGACGAAAGCTGTGTCCTGACAACGACTGCGATCCATCTACTGGAATGAGCGGAGGACAAAAAAAAAAAAGAACCTCCGGTGGATTGCAGTCGTTGTTTGCTCGTACTCCAGTGAATTGCAGCTGTTGTCAGTTCTTACTCCCCACGTAATATTTTTTTCAAAATGATAACAAATTAATCACCCATCTCATCAGCCACTAGCATTAATGATGTGGGATGCTAAATTATTGAAGTATTAAATTGTTGATGCGAATCAAGAAATTAATCTAATTGGGCGCTTGAAATGTGAAGCTAAAAACAAATTTTTTGTTATTGAAGTCAAATATTCCTTATCAAGTTCCAACTTACAAACTCTGTCTTCAAAAATAACGGTAATTAAGTGGCTTATGATATTAAAATCAGGTTTTTATAACTCAAATGCTTGCACAGAAAAATTTATTTTTTCTTATCAAAGTATATATTTTGATCTTTTATATATATATATTTGTTGAACCAAAAATGTTCGTAATGCCGCTGAAGAAATAGAGCACGGATAATATGAAGAGGAATGAACAGTAATTATGAGGCTCTTAACCCTCTTTTTCTTTATAATGGGTCTCCTATTTATAGGTATATGAGATATATTGAGTACATAATTATTTTTATGCCCCCATTGTGTCCAAAGAAATTTAGGAGTATTAAAGTCAATTATTTGATAGTGATAGTGTAATAGGAGGGCTTCTCGGCCATCCTATTTGATGAGTTCCTCAAAACCGTGGTTCGCCCCCCTCACCTGGTTGGTGATATATGGACTTTCGTTTGGCTGGTCCCGCTGATGTCTTTCGTTCGGCTCCAATGTTAGTTGGTTCGCTATCTAGTTAGATAACTCAACCGGGTTTAATGTCGATCTTCTGACTCGTGTATCAATTTTCTAAATAGCCCGATTTAGTTTCGTTGGCTGGTTCTGGCTCATTCTAATTTGTTGTCTTGCTTACCTCTGCATTGAGATTTGTGTCGCCCTAATCTGGTCATACAATACTAAAGAATACTAATAAAAAAAATTACAAATTGACCTAAATTTTCACGAAAAAAATGAAAAAAATATTCAACTAAAATAAACCTCAAATAACTAAAATTTATAGATAAAAATTAAAAATCATATCATTCTAATTTAACAATATTAGCATCTATCCTATCCTCACTTATTTTTTTAGCAAGTTTAATACAAAAGAATATGGTTAGATAGTTATATTAGGAGCTTTACATCACAAAAAATATTAGGGGCATTTAAATACATACCACACAAGTCACATGAATTTACACATCGAACATCTAAACATTTATATTTACATGCATACCACTCAATCTATTTGTAGAAGTGAAGTAATAGCCTTTTAACTGTTTTAAGTGTAAATCTTAAATTCAAGGGGTTAGATATGTAAATACATAAGAATTGATTGGTATGTATGTAAATTTCCCATAGTCTTATATAACTGAAATAGGCAGATGTACGGATCTTTCGAGGGAGTTCTTCCATTCCCGTGGCAGCGAGTCGTCTATTTAAAGCTCAGCATCTTGGCAAGAACTCTCCGTCTAGTTCGTCTGCACTGTTTCCCGGTAGAAGGTGGCGAAAAAGTTCAGATGGAAACCCTCACCAACCCCACGCAGTTTCGATCGCCGACTCTCCATCTCCTGCTTTCACCTCCCGCCGCCGTAAAGGACCCATTCACGACGTCGCTGAATTTCTTCCGCCACCGGTATCGCCCGCTTCTTCCCTCCCTAAGACGCGCTCTTCTTCCCCCTCCTTCAGCTCTCTTAGGTAACGCAAATCCGAGGCTAGGATGAAGGTCAATTGGTTTCCCTGAAATCATTTGGAAAATACACTCAGATACGCAAATCCGAGGCTAGGATGAAGGTCAATTGGTTCCCCTGAAATCATTTGGAAAATGCACTCAGATAGTTCTTGATTGTATTTCCAGCTGATAAAGAGGAGTCTGCAAGATTGGAGGAAGCTTCGAGGAATGGGTGCAATGTGGTGCCGCTGTACCGATGCATTTTCTCCGATCACTTGACGCCCGTGCTCGCCTACCGCTGCCTTGTAAGGGAGGACGAGAGGGATGCTCCCAGCTTCTTGTTTGAGTCAGTGGAGCAAGGATCTCTTGGAACCAATGTGGTATTCTTTCGATTCATTATTTATCTTGTGTCCTTTCCTTGCTTTCTTTAATTCTTGGGATTACTGAAATCGATTCATTATCCGTTTGAAATCACTCGGGGTTAGACGCATGTTGTTCCTGGTTCGCAATTGAGGTTTTTATTAATTTACTTTTAACTTCTGGCTTTAGCTGGAATTCCGATAGATATTTCTTTCTTGTGCGAAAAAGAAGAAATAAACGGGATCCTGCAAGAGGCTGAAATCAAATACTGACCCCCTTCGAATTTCTTCAGGGAAATTTTGATTTATTAATTCTGTACGATAGCATTGTTTAAAAACCCCAGTCAAAAGAAATAACTTAGTAATATTCAATTTAAAATAGTGATAGAAAAATGTTACTCAAATTTCTTGATTATTTTCAAAATAAAAGTACTATGTTCTTTTAATTTTCTTGCTATGTTTTTTAATTTCAAATAAGAAAAAAAAATACTCGGGCTTCTTGATTCTTTTGTTCTGTTCAGGGTCGCTACAGTGTTGTAGGAGCTCAACCAGTTATGGAGATTGTGGCAAAGGAGAATAGGGTGTCGATAATGGATCACGAAGTAGGCTTGAAAACGGAGAAAATAATGGAAGACCCAATGGAAGTTCCTCGGACGATCATGGAGGGTTGGAGACCAATGCTTAGTGATGATCTCCCTGACACCTTTTGTGGTATGAAATTATTCATTGGAAAATGTTTGTTTACAAATTGTTTGGAAATTAACGAGTGGTTCGTTTTTTTTTTCTGGAATGAAGTTGGATATGGCCCCATTTGGTACTCTTATTGAATTCAGCTACTGGATGAAGTTGTTTATATTTAAAGTAACTTTTACATTTCACAAAATAATTCGTTTAAATTTATATATTACAAGTAGCATTAAAGTGATTTTATATTTATTTGATCTATCGTCAAAACGTATATTACTATTGTTACTTTATTTTTTTCCTTATCTTTTTTGTTTCCTTTTATTTCGGAGTGTATGCCCTCTTTAAGTTTATTATGCTTTGAAGTGAAATTTCTAGCTTTCCAGACAACTTGAGTGATTTCCTTGGGGAATTTTTTTTCCTTTTTATTTTTCTTTCAAGTGTTTCTAACAATAATTCTTAGCAAATATATACTATTTAAAACTTAAAAAAAAAAATGAAGATGGCTTTTACTTGAACTCAAGGAGCTTATATATGATTGCTTTGCAGGCGGATGGGTAGGATATTTTTCCTATGACACGGTGCGATATGTAGAGAAAAAGAAGCTTTCTTTCTCTCATTCGCCAAAGGATGATAGGAATCTTCCAGATCTTCATTTAGGTCTCTACAATGAGGTGATCGTTTTCGATCATGTCGAAAAGGTATACTTGCCATTACCACTAAGACATTTTAGTTTTATCATTTTATAAAACTTAGTGTTGATGTTGTTCTAGAAGGATGTTTTCGGTATATTATGCATGACATTGGTTAATTTTTGGGAGGTATGGATCGCTAGAGCTCCCATTAGACACAACGCGGTAGTGTAGATATGTACTGTCATGACATATCTGGGCACCAACTAATTATTTTATAAGTCCATTTCAATCATCCTATTTTCAATAGATGACGCTCTAATGATTCATTTAATATAGTTACTCATGAAATTATATTTTCCAGTTTTGTCATATATCCATTTTAATATTATTATTTCTAGAATGCTTAACTTAGCCATCTAACATGCTTTTTTCCGAACAATTAGATGTATGTAAGATCGCAGAGCTAATACAATTTTACAAAATTAGATACAAGTATTCATTAAATCCTCCTATTATATAATATTTAAAGTTTATAATAATATTTATTATAATACATATTTATTATTTAAAAAATTTTATTTGTGTTATTTTTTATCACGCTTTATGCTAAGTAAGATTCTATTACGCTGATGACAATTGCTAAAAACAATAATGATGACTCTCTCTGGGTAGTATTTTTTGAAGCTATTTGTTCTAATTGTTGCTAATTGTTTTGTGCCTTAGAAAGCATTTGTTATTCATTGGGTTCATCTTGGTCGACATTCATCCATCGAGGATGCTTATAAAGATGGGAGAAAGAAGTTGGAGAATTTGCTATCACGAGTACACAATAGAGTCGTGTGAGTACTTCATACACAATAGAATTCTAATTGCTAATTTTTTTCCTCTGACAAAGGTTTCTTTTGGTTTTCTTTTTCAGACCAAGGCTAAGAGCTGGTTCAGTTAAATTGCAAACTCGCCAATTTGGCAGTTCTTTGAAGATGTCATCCATGACAAATGAAGCATACAAGGAAGCTGTTGTTAAATCAAAAGAACATATTCTTGCAGGAGATATCTTCCAAATAGTCTTAAGCCAGCGGTTTCAAAGGTCTACTTTTGCAGATCCATTTGAAGTGTATCGTGCATTAAGAATAGTGAATCCAAGTCCCTATATGACTTATTTGCAAGTGAGTAAGCTCTCTTTGAATATTTCCATTTTGTTCCATTCTATTTACATTCAACAATTAAGGTATGCATCTTTCCTTTGATTTTGATTCCAATTTCACAGTGTTTTTTGTTCATTTATCATGCAGGCAAGGGGTGCCATCTTAGCAGCATCAAGCCCTGAAATTCTTACTCGAACGAAGAAGGTAGAGTTCATATCTTTGGATAATTTGTTACCATTTGTGCAGGGTGACTTTATAAAGAGTTAGAGAAGATAATAAAAAAGATAAGAAAAAAAATGGATAAAATTAAAGAAGAAAAAATTGGAATAGATAGGATGGCTTTTTGTAAAGGAAAGAAGATTTTTGTGAAAATTAGTTGGAGATTTCAATTTAAAGTCTAATAAATTATGTTATGGGAGAGATATGATGTGTCATATATTAGGTCCCAAAGGGTGTTATACCCCACATGATTGATTGTTGTCGTAATTTCACATAATTTCTCTTATGAATCTTGATCACTTTCCAACTAGAAATTCTCTCTGTTATAACCTTTTGTCTCTTATGACCAGAGGGAGATTGTGAGCCGACCTCTTGCTGGGACTATTAGAAGAGGAAAGACAATTGAAGAAGATATGAAACTTGAAAAGATACTACTCAGTGATGAGAAGCAATGCGCTGAGCACATCATGCTTGTCGATTTGGGGCGTAATGATGTTGGAAAGGTCGTACTATTACAATTATTACTGCATTTTTATGCTTATTTCATTCATCAATTGTGTGCTACTTTCTTATTCTTAGTTAAAATCAAATTCCTCTTTGATTAATTCATCTTTCTCTAATGCCTTCCACATACATTTTTGGTAAATTCTCTCATGCAATGTAGTTATTGCTCCAGGTCTCCAAACCAGGTCGCGTAAAGGTGGAAAAGCTTATGAATGTCGAAAGATACTCTCATGTGATGCACATTAGCTCCACGGTTAGACTCTTCATGTTCATTAATGCTCCACTGCATGCTATAGCTCCTTAAAAATCTGGAATCATGTTTTAATACAGGAAGATTTACATACAGACCACTTAGTTCCTATGTATGTATTTACATTTCTAAAGCCTAAACTTACAATTTTTTACATATATGCCGGTATATTTATGCATGATAAAGTATATAGGGGCATTTACATACATAACACACAATTCTTATGTATTTCCATATCTATTACCTAAACATACATTCATATTTACATACATACCATTCAAATTTTTAACATCACATCAAAAATACTACCAACACTACTTTTTTAAAAGTGAAGTACACATTTTCTTGCATAGGCTTATGACACCCGTGTGCTTGAAGTGTAAATATCAAACATTGTGTTGTTAGATATGTAAATACATAAATAATTGTTGTATATATGCAAATTTCCGATAGTATATTTCATTTTATTAAGTTAAAATAGTGATTTTTTTAAGTGACATGGAAATTTTGGGTGGCATGAATATAAAAATTAATTTGGTGTCATATTATTTCATTTTATTAAGTTAAAATAGTGATTTTTTTTAAGTGCATGGAAATTTTGGGTGGCATGAATATCAAAATTAATTAGGTGTCATATATGTAAATTCCTCCAATTCGGAGGAATTGGGCGGTATGTGTGTAAAGATTAATTAGGTGTCATGGATGTAAATTCGGAGGAATTGGGCGGTATGTGTGTAAATGCCCCTTTAATAAAAGCGTTATTTTTTCATAGTGATTTATGCCCTCACCTTCTCTTTGGAACGCGAAGGGCAGAAGCATTTGATATTCAATTATCATTAGTTATCTTCTTGATTTCCCCTTGAGCTCTGCAGGTTACTGGGGAGCTTTTCGATGATCTCACTTGTTGGGATGCTTTGCGTGCTACATTGCCAGTGGGAACAGTCAGCGGAGCTCCTAAGGTTTGCCTTCATGTTGAATGTCAAAGTTTAGGCGTTAGATCTGTAAATCTTAAATACCAATCCTTATGGCCCTGTCTGGCAACGAATTTAGGCAAGGATTTATGGAGGATATAAGTGTAATCCTGCCAGATGATCATTTTGGACAAAATAAATACGGGGATGCGATAAATCCAGATTTCACTATTTTCGTCTGTAAATCCCGGATTCAGTAAATCCTTCTAATCAGTGGATTTAAGTTTGCCAGCTGCAGATTTTAGACGGGAAGAATCAAATAGAACAGAGATTGTCATATAGTTTTATTGGATTTATAGAATTTATTTAATCCATTACAAAATTTTTTTTGAGATTTATCCTATTCAGGATTTACTAAATTCAGATTTACAGGATTTATTTAATTCTAGTAATTTAAATTTTATCTGTTGCCCCAGACAACACCTATATTCACATATCTGACACAAATTTCAATTTTGTGATTTTTGCATATTAATCATTCAAAACTTTAAATATGACAGATTGATCACCTAAATCTCAAATTTTACATTTCAATCAGCCAAAAAACAACTCAAAACTTTAAACATAGCTGATTGACAACTCCTATTTCAAAAGGAAATAAAGTTTTGAGAGGCCTAAATCTCAAATTTTACATTTCAATCAGCCAAAAACAACTCAAAACTTTAAACATAGCTGATTGGCAACTCCTATTTCAAAAGGAAAAAAAGTTTTGAGAGGTTTAAATATAAATTTTATGCTTAGGTGGCTAGCACATTGTTTTTTAAAAGTTTGAATGATTGGTATGTAAAGCTCCTTCAATTTTTTCTTTTTTGTCATTTTATCACTCTTAAGAAGTTTTTCTTATATGTCATTTTATCACTCTTAAAAAGTTAGAATCGTGATATGATATGAAAATCTATGTACGTAAATACCCCCCAAAAAAATGGAGAAAGCAGCTGCACAAATAAGAAGTGTGGAGGGGAATTATGAACAGAGCTTTGGCTCTCTTGGAACAGGTAAGAGCCATGGAGTTGATAGACGAACTCGAGGTGACGAGAAGAGGACCATACAGTGGAGGGTTTGGAGCAATATCTTTCAATGGCGAGATGGACATTGCGCTTGCACTCAGAACCATCGTCTTTCCGACCGGCGACCGGTTCGACACCATGTACTCGTACAAGCACCTGGACCGGCGGCAGGAGTGGGTGGCTCATCTCCAGGCCGGCGCCGGCATTGTGGCTGATAGTGTTCCCGATGATGAGCAGCGTGAATGTGAGAACAAAGCCGCCGCCCTTGCTCGCGCCATTGATCTAGCTGAGTCAGCTTTCCTCAACCACGTTGATTGATTAGGTTTTTTTCCTTTTCCTTTTGAAAGTTGCCTTTTTCTTTTTTCCTTTCTTTCTTTCTTAGATATATGTTTAGGGTATAAAAAGTTTTGGAGATTTGGCTAACAAAACCCTCTTTAGCCAATTTTCTTAGCTCGTTTAATTAACGAGCCCCATATGAATAAGAGCCCAATTTTCTTAGTTCGTTTAATTTTGTATCCATAAATATCTCTCTCAATCAATCTCTCTCTCTGTCAATCAATGGTTGGCTTCATTTGTATATCTTGTGGTGTTTTGGAGAGAATATTATGTACGGATTATGGATGCATTCGGACTCCATATATAATATTATTGTGCACCGAGTCCAGATGCATCCGACTTTGTGCTTTGACATTTTGGTTAATTAGGCTTGATGAGCTGGAGCCTCAGACTAGTAAGTAGTAATGAGTGATCTTGGAAATTTTCTTTAATTATTGGTTAAATATTTTGGTGGAATGACTTTGAATAAGAAATTAACTATGCTTCTTAACCATTTTTATGAATTTGGGCTAACTCTGGATTTTTTTTTATTAACTGTGGATTTGATTGTGCATGAATGTATATTATATGATTGGAAATAAAATGAAGAATCTTAATATATTGTATTTGACGCTCATACTCCTTGAAAAAACAAATGGAAGAGATTTAAATAGCAAGAATTCAGTGGTTGCCAATTCTTTTTTTGCAAGTGTCGAATAACCTATCATGATTTTTCTTAATAGCTTACTCAGAAATAGGTCTAAAGATGTATTAAAAAAATTTTAAAAAAAATCCAGAGAAGTGTTATTTTATTTCATAATAATAATTGGTAGATAGTTTTTGATTTTTCTTATTTTTATTTTTGGTGGCTACATATTTGTTGATTTTGAAATGTTACGAGCATCTACAGATTTCATTATATGTTTTTTATTTTACTCTATTGATCATAATGATCTCCATTATAGTTATCCTTATTATCCTCACCATAAAATTAATTTTATAGATTCCTAATCTCCATTTTTACTTATTCAATGTCACAAGAGGTGTCAAGAAAATTTTGGGCACACATACTTTCAGTAGTTTTTTCAAATCCAAATTATCTCTGCTTTCATTTTTTTTTTCTTAGACTTACATCTACATTCATTTTATACACTCATTGCATTGGTTCATCATTTATGTTCTTGTACTTTTTTGACTCACTTAAATCTATTTCCCACTCTTGTTTTTCAATATTTGTAGTTCCCTTTGATAATTTGATGCAATTAATCCTTAGTTTATCCTTCCAAAAATTATTTTTTTCAATTTTCTTATTTGCAATAGTTGTTGCTCCAATCATGTTCTAGATGTAATCATACATCGGTGCAGACTTCTTAGCATTGCCATATATCTATCTTAATTTTCTTAGCTCTTTCATAATTTATTTATTGCCCAATATTTAAATTCATGCATCATAATTGATTTGATTATTGTTTCATAAAATTCTATGTTCCCCTTTATCCTGTACTCTTGGAAGCATTTTGAATAAGGTTCTTTATAATTGCTCCAATGTTTGGTAGTCTTTGGAGAAATGATATTGTTATATAGTGATATGTTGTTCACAATAGGATTAATTGAATGTGAGTAACTCTAAAGAAATTGCGAGCAATGACATTGAATTTTCAATGGGATTTTTATATAACTGTATTGAATTTATTATTGGGTCTCACCATCGTTTGTGCATGTGCTCAGCTTGGGTGTGATTGATTACTTTACAGTGGTTGTATTTGCTTGTATTATGATAATATATATGTTAAAAAATTAATGTTTGAACTGTATGACACAAATTTCAAAAAAAGTACATAATAACTAAGATCTTTTAAATTCATGATTTTTACATATCTAAAGTAAAGTGATACATACCTGTATTCATGATGAACAAATTTAATCATATCTTTCGAGCACTTCTGTTATGTTTTTATCTATGTATTTCATGCTTATTTTTAAAATTAATTTCATTATCATGTTTTTTGTTATATCATAAATTATTTTTTCATGTACTTTCAATTAAAATGCAGTAAAGTCAATTTTTTTTGAGAGCACATTTATGAACAAGATTAATCAAATTGTTGATACACTACAGTTAAGCTATGTTATGACGGAGTTGATACCATATATTATGGAGCAAAATAGCTTCTCAGACGATAATGAGTATATTTAAAGGCTCATGTTTGACTTATTTTATACTGATTGTCAGTATGTTATAGATGTGCTAATCGGTCATCCGACGAAATCATAAAGTTATTTCAGACTTTCAACAGAGGCTTTTATGCATATGAGGGGCTTGTTGTTTAGCCGAAGACTATTGTTGATACTAAGAATTCTTAGAAGAGTGATGCACACTCATATGTACAGATGACTTCATGCATTGGAGAGATGTATAATTTCAAGTACATGATCAAGATCTTTATTCGTCTTAATTGCGTCCAGATGGGCAACCCAAATCCAAAATCGGACATAAAAAGTCTTCACTAAAAAGCAACACACCAAAGTCAGATTTAGTAAATCCTGTGATAGCCAAAATCTACAAGCTCATTAAATTTAATTAATATTTTATTTTAAATTATGACAATTACTAATCATATATTTATTAAAAAATATTATTAAAATAAATATTAAATTGAAGTTTAATATTTATAAGGGGACAATTAATTAGTTAAATTAGTAATTATCTATAAATTCATTGAATGAATTAAAAAAATATTTATTTTTATTAATTAACAATTAAATAGTACATATAATTTTATTTAATTATAATTAATTTTATAATATTTAGTTAAACATTAAAAATTAATCAATTAAATTCTAATAAAATTAAATTATTAGTTGAAATTTAAGGTCGGAATTCATGAAATTTGAGGTTTTATTTTGTCCAAAAAAGCTAGAGAAAATATTTAATTTGAATATCGCACGTCTCGATGGTCAATTACTAAGCAACACATAACACATAATCGGCAGATTAACCCTCGATGAAATATTTTTTCCAAAAAAATGAGGGGTTTGGGATAGCTTGTATTTATCAAAATAAACAACTTATCCTGAATCATAGCGGTGGCCCGCAGTAGTTCGACTCACGACCAACGTTTAGTATAAAAACCCAACTACATTTTCAGATAAGTTGAAGAAAACATACTTTCCATGAGGTGAACCTGGCATTTTCAAAACATCATTTGTTATACTTATAAGCTGCCCGGGCCCTATCTCAAATCCTCCTCTAAATCCTTTACCAGACAGGGGCGATTATTGCGTGCGGACACCGCATGCATCTCTGCATGCGGTGTTCGATCCTGGCCGTAGATCACGGTGATCTACGGTCAGGATTATTTCTATTTTTTAAAATAAAAAATAAAAAAATTTAGGTGGGCCCCACCGAAATACATCAGGACCCGGATCGGTGTCCGCACACAAGCTGCACGCCAATCCGCATGGAATAATTTTTCACCAGACAGACCCCTCCATTGTATTTCATTTTCATTTTCATTTTCATTTCTCTCTGCTTCGCATCCCTCCGCACTTCCGCTGCTACTTTCTCCCGCCGCCGGCGATTGCTTGAGATGAAAAGATCATGTATGCTTCTCAAATATTTCTCTTTTTATCATCTCTCTGCCGTGAGATCTTAGGGCTTATTCTGTAACTTCTATTTTTCATTATTTTTTATTAATTTCCCTCCCCGCCCCCCCCCGCCCCCCTTTTTCTCTTACAAATGATATGCATTTTTGCCTTCCTTCGCTTTTGTCTCTTCTTTCTTGTAGAAGTGAGCGACAGTGCAATGGCGATTTTTTCTTGTTTTTTTGGAAACCTGATTGGAGCGTGGTTTGCAGTACTGATTTTCTGCTCTGAGCTGCTGTTGCTATATTCACTGCAATTCAAAGTTTATCCATGTTGCTTTATCGTATTGATTGGTTCTTTCTGTGGCATATATATAAATATATATACCTTTTTTTGCTGTTGTTTGCCTTTATGAGTGTCTGTTGCTTCTGTTCTTGTTGGAGTGTATCTTTAGTTTTAGGCTGTGTTTGGCTGCAACATAAATTTAAGTTAACTAGGATTTATCAAATCTGATAAATTATCAAAAAACAGACTGCGAGGGACCACAAATTCACCTCTCAATCAAATTTACTAAATTCAGATTTACGTCATAAAAATGATAGAACACTAGAAAAAAAGATGAAACACAAGAAAGTTTGATTTAATGATGCATTGGATTTAATTTTAATTTTTATGTTCTATGTTTGGGTGGATTTAAGTTAAATCCAAGGCTAAATCCTATTAATAGTATGCTACCAAGCTTTAATAGAGCCGGGCATATCATGGATTAAATTTGGCTTTCTTAGAATAATTTATGATCAACCTTGTCAAGTAATTAGCTTGCCTACATTAATCGAATAATTAAAAATAAAGCTCATAAATGTCAAGCATTAAATGAATATCTATTTTATAAGTCTGAATGAACAAATAATTCAATAAATTTAAAACTAATATCCAATTATTTGATACTAATTAAAGAAGCCCCAATTGAACATGGTAATAGTAAGACTATAGAAGCTAAGAATTGAAAATACATGAAAGTTTTGAGGAGGAGAGAATGACATCTAATTTGTAGAATTGAAAGAAGAAGACAATCTAAGCAGGAGAAGTTTACTCATCTTCGATTCTTGTGCAGATCTACTTCGATTCTTATCTGAGTGTGCTGGAGAAGATGCATTCAGGGCTAAGATAGAACTTCTATCGAAGGTGGGTTGAGAAGGAGAAAATGCATTAAATTTTGAAAGGCTCGTATTGTGAATGTAATCCTAACAATTTGCTCTCATAGATGTAGCTCTTGAAACCTCCTGCAACAAAAGTTAGGGAATTGGGGGTTATGCTTTGCTTAATCTTGCTTTGGATGTTGGATATATTCTTATCGTTATGTTTCCGATGCTTTGGATTTGCTCATTGTAATATCTGATATAGATTTCTTCTCAAATCCTCTCACTCTCTCTTCGATTATAAGGAATGCTTATCCTTTTGCATCCCATATTCCTTTGCTAATCGTCTTCCTCGTGTTTCCTCTTTTCACGTAAAGGCGTTAAGCCTAAGTTCTCCGAACAACCTCTTCTTTGCCTATTTTGTTCATCAATCCCACAAAATTCATTCAAATTTTGGGAGGAAGAATGGATCAAGAAGTAGACCTTATAATCAGAACATCTCCACCTCTAGTCTTTATTGCATGGCCACAAAGACATTTTTTATTTGCTAAGTTTTAGAAAGTTGGAATTTTTTCCACATCTAACCTCTTAATGTTATACAGTCTCCCCAGTTGTATAAGCAGTGAAAACTGTGCGAGCTGATGAGAAGAAGATGCTCTCACAAAGTTTTGGGTTTCTATCACCATGCCTCAAGCACCGTTGCTTTAAGCTTCGCTTCCAGACCTTCTCAGCTTTCTTCTCTATCTCTAGTAGTAAGCCAGAAAGTCATAGCTCCAAGAAGGAACCATTAATGGCAGAAGAGGCTGCAGCAAGAGCAGAGGCTTACCGTCAACTTGAGAACCTTGATTTCAAATCTGCTGCTAAGATTCTTTTCACAACACCTCCCAAAAGGAAAAAGTTTGGGCAAGTCCCTCTTTTTTGCTTTAATTGCGTTAGAGAAATACAATGGTTAATGTTCTGACATACTTGATGGGATTCTATGTATGAATGCAGGCTCGACTTCCATCTTGTGCAGCTATTCTTTGCATGCCTGCCTTCTTTTGGTATTCCTTTGTCATATACCAACTTCTTGCAGTAAAGTTAGAATTACAAATTGTCATCTCTAAATTAACATTTGTTTTTTTTTCTTTTTTTAATAGCGGTTTATTTGGTGGCTCAGTATGCACGCTCTGAAATAAGAAGAATGGAAGCTGTAATCTTGCTCTTCAATCCATGCTTTGCTATTGTTTTATCTAAGTCATCTTAAATTGTTTGGTTTATTTAAATTGTTGAACTTTATTTTGAGCTTTTTTAGTTTGATAAAAACTGGAAGAATTTTTTTTCTTTTTGCCCTACTTGCATTCATTTCTTATTGTCTATATTCATGATCATACCCTAGTTTAAATTATCCTAAATTTCTTCAAATACTTGTTAAAGGTTTTTCATTTTATTCTCTTAGGAATCCTTATCTCAAATTTGTTAGTAGACATATGAATACCATTGTTAGTTGTTGAAGAAAAATAGTACCGCTTGACACCTCAAGAAAACCAAAAAACTGCACTGCCGAACACCTGAAGAAAACCAAGACCTGGACTGCCTAATAGGAAGAAATAATAAATGCAAATAGTACCGCTTGACACCTCAAGAAAACCAAAAACTGCACTGTCAAACACCTGAAGAAAACCAAGACCTGGACTGCCGAATAGGAAGAAATAATAAATGCCGAACACCTCTTTGAAAGTCGAAGGAGAGTGAAACCACAACATGCAAGAAAACAGGGAAAAGAGACGAAAAACTGCAGCAAAGATAATATGCGAACAAGAAACAAAAACACCCAAGAATTATGTGGTTCGGTTCATAGGACCTACATCCACGGGAGGGAAATCAACCATCAAATCCTGCTAAGGGCCCCTCAAGGCTAGGTGGAGGGAATCTCTATTCAAGATTTTGTAATTGAGAGTCAAGGTGGAGAATTGTTACTATGACTCACAATTGGCTGGACTATCGAAGAAACAACTTGGACTGTCGAACACCTGTAGAAAGAACTCCTTTATACCTGCTATGCTTGAAAGGATTGAATACATGCTGTTGCTGAACAGTCGGAGGAATGGAAGGACCTGCGGGCTAAAGAACTCCCTGCCGAATATCTAGACTGCTGAAGAACTTGCTACAGGCCAAATCTGGGATTGTCGAAGGGCACCTGCAGTGCGTCGGCAATCTGGACAATTGAATGGGAGGAGAAACCACCTCAGCAAGCAAAACAGGGAAAAACATGGAAAAAACAGACATAAAACTGCAGAAAATGAAATGCAAGACAAGAACACAATAACAGTGCAGTTCTTTGGTAATTTCAGGTGTTTGGTGGGGCAAGTTTTCCAACATTAGTAGTTGAAGCACAATTGATCTCGGTTTCTGAGAATATTTTGGATTGTTAGGAAGAAAATAATTTTTAATGAAAGAAAGCTTTTGGTGCTATGTGTTGTGCCATTAGGATTCTTTGTGATATACATGAGTAAGGAGGTGCATTTAGAGATCGAGATTTTTTGTTTTTTTATGTGTGTGTTGTGTATCTGGAAATGTTAGTGAATTTAATTGTATAAAGGCAGACACCACACTCACAATGCATATGAAAAGCCTTGAACGTAGAACATCTTGGTTGAAAGACTAGCTCTCAACCAACAAGCTAAGGTGGATTGCATATCTGTTGACTGAGTTAAGATATAGTGTCGCAATATGTGAATCTTCATAGGTAAGAGCAAAAGTGTTGAGATGTATTGGCTGGTGAAACAACAATAACTGTTCATAAGAGGATTAGGAGGAGAGGTGAAATTCTTATGAAAGAGAGGGAGAGACTTTTGTCTTGTTTATCAACTCTCAATTTTCTATTGTAAAGGCCTCTGACATTCGACTGTCATCTCTAATTATTTAGTAGTTCTCTCCTGTTTGAAAATCCCTCTTACTTTGGCCAAGAAAACTAGTCTTCAATCACTCCATAGGTTGTTTCTTTTACCTCTTCCTTTGTTATTGGTTTATGAACGAGAAGAATGAGTAATCCCCCTTCAGCGCCATTAAATTGTCTTCTTATATGATACTTAGAGAGATAGTAGATAATAAACTTGTTGATGTTAAGTAAATGATAGCGGGTAACATACTTGTAGAAGTTAGGTAGAGAGTGAAGTAATAAATTTGTAGGGGTTATAGGGAATATGGTAGATAACATAATTATAGAGATAGAGAAATATAACCTCACATCTCAATAATTTTACACTTGGAAATAAGGAAAAAATTGATGTATTTTCATAAAGGAGTCAACAATGTGAGGTATCCTTCTCAATTATTTATGTGGGTTAACTAAGGTTTTAGAGTTGTCTAGTCCTTTAGTAGTAAATATATTTGCTACAATCTATGCTTTACTATTATGCTACGCATTGATCCTGATAAATCGTTTGCTTTGTAAATTCTAATTGCCCTTTAGAATGTCACACTTGATAGAAATTTTATCTTTTATTGTACATGTGGACTAGATTTAAATTTAACATTTGCTTCTATTATCCTAGTGTTTGACATCATGTACATGGTACCATTCTCGCCTGTATTTGCTATCATCATTACCATTCTTGATCACTTTTTTAAGTATTAGTACATAAGGTTAGTACAGCCTTCTTCACCTAGTTGCCCAACTGAGGTTAAGATTTCTCTCCAAGTTAAGAAAACGTCTCACATTGTGAAGCCTTCACATGGTTTTATTTTCAATATTGATTTACCAATCACCAACTTTTTTAAAGTTTTTGATCCAAGATTCTAAAGGATTATCCATACTAAGGATTAAGTGCATTATACATCTCTTCTCCCATAGCATTCGTTGATTCCTCCATTTGCTTCAAACTCTATCCATTATTCGTCTGTAGATAATCTCTCTTCATCGTCCAACTTGCCATATTTCCAACATACACCTCTATGATATTTTGATTAGCATTTTTATTGAGTTTGGATTCTATCTCCATTATTACTTGTTTTTGCACTTCTTCCTTTGCTCTTAAGATTTAAACAAGCAAAAGAACCTTCACCTAATTCTCGCCTATTGATGCCCTCACTCAAGAACTAGTCACAAACACCATTGAATTTTAGCTTCATAAACCTGCATGAATCACAGTTTCAGCCCGGCTTTTTGGTAGTGATGATAACAAGATCAATGAACCAATTTTGTTGTCGTAATTAATATCAGTTAAGCCAAAATAAGTAATGATCAGTGCGAGTTGGCCACTGTGGAAGATCTTTCAGATGTCTTGAGCTTAAGAACTTATTATTTCATTAATCTTGGTCATCTCAAAGGCCTATTGTAGATGTCTGACAAAGCTTTATTCATGCCATCTATAGTCTATCTAGTGCAATATATTAAAGATAACTTTCTTTATCAATGATAGGCATACAAGTCAAAGCGGTTCTCTGTTAAGAGATTCTAGTCTTCCTAGCTCAAAGATGTTGACTTCAATTTAAAAGATGTGGACCTAGTTTTCTATGTATAGGCGATACTTGTTTTAGATTTACCAGTGATCGAAGTTCTTACTATTGAACCTCGCCTTGTCATCTTTGATTGTCTTTGCTCTCACTTTTATAGAACTCCAAAACATCTAGCTCTAATACCAATTATTTGAATGAAAGCATATATTTGAGAGCAATGAAAATCATGATAATGAGAAAATTAATCGGCAAGTATAGATGTTTACATGGTATTATGATATTTACTTCATGATTATATAAAGATATTGCATTCATTAGTTCAATGAAAAATAAAAGAATATATATATATATATATATATTTATTTTTATTTATTTTTTTTTTCCTTCATATCAGTAACATTCTTTCTTCCAAGGTTTAGAAAGGCAAAATAAAAAAATTTGACTTTTTTACCTTCTGTAAGGCAATGCGTAAGTCTTTTAGTGAATCTAGGCGTAAACCTCAATTTTGAAAAAAACTTAAAAAATAATTTATAAATATGATATAAACAATTGATATATTGAGTTAGTTTATTATTATAAAGAATTAACCACAAATGTAATTCTTGAATATTGATATAAAATAGAAGTTTGAAATAAAATTCAAAATAATTATTCATTTACAATTTGGAATTTTTACATAAATACCACTCAATTCCTATGTATTTACATATCTAACACCTAAATTTTAATTTTTACATACAGGCCACCTTAGCTATGCAGGAAAGGTGTATTTCTCTTTTTAAAACTTAAAATGGTGTGTGTTTTTTTTTTTTTTTATATATGTGAAATGAAGATTTGGGTTGGTATAAATGTAGAAAAGTAAAGTTCAGGTGTTTTATATGTAAATACATAGGAATTGGATGGTATCTTTGTAAATGCCCCCCAGATCATTTCTATTCCAATCTGAGCTGATATTTTGTACGATTCTTTACTCTCTATCTATGAATTGCATTTTCTCTTTGGGAAATTTACATATGTAGCAAACATTTTTTATTGATTTACATGCCTCACACTTAAGCTTTCATATTTGCATACATAGCATTTTTGTGCTTTAAATCTATGCATTAAAAGGTGTATTTTACTTTTAAAAATAGTAATACTGGTATTTTTTATGTGATATTAAAGACTTGAGTGTTATATGCATAAATATGAAAGTTTAGGCGTGAGATATGTAATACCAAAGAATTGTGTGCTACGAATGTAAATTTCCCTCCGTCTTTCCATGTTTAGAAGAATAATATTTCAAATACTGTTTCAGGAAGCAGAACAGAAAAAAAAACTAGCTGATGAAGAAGATAAAACGAAAATTACAGAATTGACTCCCACAAAAGATTTATCAAACAATGAGCTATCAGAGGTGAAGATTAGACTTGATGCTTTGGAAGAAGCTGTGAAAGAGATTGTTGATGAGAGAAAAAAAATCACTGATAGTAAACCCAACAGTAACAGAAAAGCTGGAAATGAGAAGGTAGAATCTGCTGATAAGAATTCTGAAAATCGAAATAAAGCAAAGGATTATGGAGGCTCGAGTGCTACTATTACTCCGAGTAGTGAAATGCGACCTAAAGATGCAGATACTGCAGGAGGCTAGAGTACAGCGGCTAAGAAATGAAACAACATGGAAGACGGAGAGTTCACTTCCATCTACATATATTGCAGGAGGCTAGAGTACAGCGGCTAAGAAATGAAACAGCATGGAAGTTCACTTCCATCTACATATATTTAGTAAAGCGTCCAAATAGTCCTCTGACTCTTTATATGTGGTCATATTTGTCCCAGAGTCTATAAAAATGTCAATTTAGTCCTCAGATTTCTTAAATTAAGGTTGAAATAGTCCTCCACATGGTTTATTTCAACCCTTACTAAAAGAAAGGGGCATTTACATACATACCACCCAATTCTTTTATCCTAAACTCTATTTTTTACATTTATACCACCCAAATATTTTATATCATTTCAAGCATGGGTAAGGTGGCTTGTACTTAAAAATGAAGTTTAGTTGTTAGATATATAAATACATAGGAATTGAGCGGTATGTATGTAAATCTTTCTCAAAGAATCCGGGGACACATATTAGAAAAGCATAGGGACTAATTTGACACTTTTATAGACTTCAAGATTAAAATAACCCCCTGCAAATTGTCAGTATACTATTTGACACTTTTTTCTATGTATATTTGGGTGACTTAGATTAGTCCTACAAGCCTTTCATTTCTTTTATTTGTGGCTCTTGGTTTAATCATGCTAGAAATAATTGCATGTTTAGCTTTTAGTTGATTTATTCAGGACATTTTGGCATAATTGTATGATGGATAAAATGAGAATTTGAATTATAAAGCCCACCATGATTTTTTTTTCCAGACTTTATTACTTCTTATACATGAAATGTTGAATGAAGAACTTGGATAAAGCATCTAATGAATGTCTTCATTTGCAGTTTATATACACAGGTTTCAGATTCTTACAAGTGAACACAGGCACGATCTGTACTGTGTGATTTGGTGTATAATGAAGCTGGATGGCAATCATTAAAAGGTAGTGTAGTATATTAGTATGGGCTTTTTGTAAGCATCGCATAATTCTTACATATTTACATATCTCCCACTAAAATATTATATTTACTTTTTACAGAAATTTACATATGTGGCACACAATTCTTAAGAATTTATGTATCTCACACCTAAACTTTCATATTTACTAGCATTGCACTTCACCTGTGCATGAAAAGGTGGATTTCACTATTAAAATGTGGTAATTTGTGCTATGTTTGATGCGATACAAAGGACTTGCATGTAAATATGGAAGTTTTAGTGTGAGATACGTAAATCCATAAGAGTTGAGTGATATGTATGTAAATGTCCCTACTTTTTAACACTCAAATCTTCAACATCACATGAGAAAGGCCAACAATTTTAAACCTTTAAAGTGAGATACACATTTTCATGCATTTTTGATATTAAATAGATCATGGAAGTAAGCATTGATTGTCATAGAAATATTGATGATATTGGTTTGTCTTTTATCCTTCATCATGCATCTTTGAATTGATTAAATATATTTTTAGTGTATCTTCAATAGGTTTTTTTTTTTTTTTCGTTGTCTCTATGATAAGATTATCTTTTAGTCTCTCTTTTAATATATTACCTATTTTTGCTTTCTCATTTGTGTCACATTTGGCTACCAATGGCTTCTTCAATGACTAGCATTGTAACTTGTATATCATAATATGCCTAATTACATGTTAAAGTTGAGTTTACCTTAGCCTTCGTGATTGTGTTTTCCTACAGACATTACCCATCAGAGAATTTTTTTGCAACCATATTTTTACTATATAATTTAATAGGTCCTTTTTTTCTTGAAGGGAAACCAAGATTCGAAACATGTCACCCTTGAGCATCAATTGATCTTTCCATAGTATGAATTGATGCTTTTTTTTGACATATCTACCAAACTCTTATATAGTTTTACTCTTATGATTCTAATAACTGATTTTCTAGAAATTTTAATCAGCATTTATGTTATTAAATGTTTTTTGCCATGTGGAAAGTTTTTTTTTTTTTTCATACTTCAATTCCTTCATAAAACAAGGTTTTGTAAAAAGTGTTTAAAGGGCTCTATTTTAGAAATTTGAGCATTCTATTGGTATCAAGGCAATCTATGAATAACAATGGAAAAAAAACATTGTTAATAGTTTAGATGTCTTTTAATGGTTTGGTAGAATAATTAAAGGTGGAAAATAAGAAGGATATGTTGACATCCCAATTGAAGTGTGAGTTTTTTGGTCCCCATTTTTAGGAATAGAGGAGATGCACAAGAATGTGCAAATTATAGAGAAATCAAGTTATTGTGTAATACTTTAAAATTATGGAGAAGTAAAAAGAAAGTAAGGAGGATCTATATATGATTTCAAGAGAAGCTCTTTGGAGAGTTCTAGAGAGAGAAAGTATTGCTACAACTTATATTAAAGTCATTAAAGATATGTATGCTAGAGTTGATATTTGAGTTTTAATAAAAGGATGATCGATCAATTATTTTCCTATTTCAGTTGGATTACATCAGAGATTAGTTTTAAGCTCATATCCTTTTGTTTTAGTTATGGATGCTCTTACTAGACATTTACAGGAGAATGTATCTTGGTGTATGCTTTTCGTTGATAGTATTCTTCTTGTGGACAAGAGTAGAGAAAGTATTAAAAAAAAACTTGAATAATGGAGGCCTACATTGGAGTCTAAAGGCCTCTGTTTGAATGTATCTAAGATTGAGTACATTGAATGTAATTTTAGTAGTAGTTGCTCTAGTGACAGAGTTATAATTATGAGTGATCAAATCATTAAAAGGTGTGAACTTTTTAAATATCTCAAGGCTATAGTTCAAAGGGATGGTGATATCAATGGGGATGTTATTAATAGAATTCAAGTTGGTTGTAGTGGAGGAATGCATCAAGCCTATTGTGTTGATAGATAAAGAAAAATTTTATAAGATGGTGGTGAGACTTGCAATGCTTTACGATGCAAAATGTGGTATTTTAAAAGAGAAGTATAAATCAAGTTAATTGTTGTTGAGATGAGAATGTTCAGGTGGATGACTGACTTGATACTTAGAGACAAAATGTGCAATGAATTAATCCGTGGAAGGGTTGGTGTAGTTCCAGTGGTAGACAAGATTAGAGAGAGTCGTCATAGATGGTTTGGTCACATCAAACGTCAATCATCTAATGATTCGATTAGGAAAACAGATGTTTTAGATTCGACTTAAGTTAAGAAAGGCAAAAGTAGGCCTAAAAAGATATTATATAAAAAATGATCTTAGTCTATTAGAATTAAATGATGATATGACACTCAATAGAACACAATGGAGAAAAAGGATTCATGTTGCTGACCCCACTTAGTGGAATAAAGGCTAATTGTTGTTGCTCCTTTTTTTTATTTTTTTATTTATTTTAAAAATATAATGTATTAAAGTTTATGTTTTACATGTGTTTATGTTTTGTTTCTAAAAATAAATTAACAAGCTCTTAGACAATCCATGAATGGCAAAAGCAAATAAATATTCTTAATAGTTTAGATGTAGAATAATTAAATGTTTGTTTGGGCTTAATTTTGTTTGTTGCTTGTTGTTTGTTGTTTTTATTTTTTATTTATGTTTAAAATATATGTTTTTAGTGTATTCTTTACATATTTTTATTTTTATTTTTTTGAAAATAAATTAGCATGATTTTATACAATCTATGATAACAATGGAAAATAAACATTGTTAATGGTTTAGATGTCTTTTAATGATATGTTAACTAAGGGCTTGTTTCAAATTAATTTTATTTTTTATTTGTTGTTTTTATTTATTTACTTATTTTTTAAAAATATATCTCATCACTGTGTTTTTAAAATATCTAAATTTTTTGTTTCTAAAAATAAATTAATATGCTTTTTAAAGACACTAAATAAATCTTAGATGTAAAGTAGATAGATTTTATTTCAAATAAAAATGTAAAAATAATAATAATAAGATAAAAAAAAATAAAAAGCCAAAGTGATCTCAAATGACCCATTAATATCTTCATGATATCTTTATTCTTTATTTCAACATTTTTTAATATTTTTGTTTTAAAATTCATATAATTTGTTTTATATATTGAGTCTTTTATTTATGATTAATATATAATAAAATAAAGTAATTAATTAAAAAATGTAAACAAAAAATGTTGTTAAATGTCCCCAATTTAAAAAAATAATAATGATAAATGATTTGATAATTTTAAAAAGGTGAACTAGAGTATTTAAGGGTTGATGGCTTCTAATCGTTGAAGAGCTTATAAATTTTGTTATGTTCATGTTTCTCATGATATGTAAACATAAGCTTGCTCGAGCTTAACTTGATAAATGGCTCATGTGCTAAACTCGATAAGCTAACAAACCAATCTCCAGTCAATCCCGACTCTTATCATTAGTTAAGCCAATTCATTTAAAATGTAATTAATATGAAATAATAGTATTTATTCTTTCATGATGATCCAAAATTTAATTGGTCTAATTACAAGTTAGCTCATATATATATATATAAGGTTGGTTGGCATCCTCGGTGTAAGACCCTTCAAATCGGCGGTTCGAATCCATTATGACACAGTTGGTCTTAAGAAGGTGGTACTTGAATTATTAGATACATTAAAAGTGCATTGAGACTTGTATAATAGCCTCTAGTCATTACTTAAAAATTATATATATATATATATATATATATATATAT